GAAATACAATATACAAAAACATATGGGATACAGCAAAAGCAATACTAAGAAAGAAGTTTATAGCAAGAAATGCCTACATCAAAAAAGCAGAAAGATTTCAAATAAACAATCTAACACTGCACTTCAAAAAATTAGGAAAAAAAGAAATTGGAAAAGCAAAAATAAACTCAAAATTAGTGAAAGAAAAGAAATAATAAAGATCAGAGAAGAACTAAATGAAAGTGACAAAAAAAGAAAAAAAACAACCTACAGAAGACAAACAAAATGAAAAGTTGGTTTTCTGAAGGGTAAACAAACTATTGGCTAGACTAAGAACAGAGATTACCCAAATAAAGTCAGACATAAAAAGGAAACTTCGCAGCTGATACCACAATAATGGAAAGGAATATGAGAGACTATTCTGAACAACTATAAGCCAACAAATTAGAAAACCTAGAGAAAATGGATAAATTCCTGGACTCATATAATGTATCAAGATTGACTCAAGGAGAAATAAAAAAAAAAAACTGAACAGATCACTATCTAGTAATGAGATTGAATCAGTAATAAAAATGATCCCAACACAGAAAAGTCCGGGACCAGATGACTTCATTGTTGGCTTCATTGCTGAATTCTACCAAACTTTTAAAGAATAACTTATACCAATTATTCTCAAACTATCTGAAAAAATAGTACAGCAGGAAATTCTTCCAAACTCACTCTATGAGGCCAACAGTACGGTACTACTAAAATCCAACAAGAACAAAACTAAAGAAGAAACTACAGACCAAAAAATATCCCTCATGAACATGGATGCAAAACTTCTCAGAAAATGAAATCTAACAATACATGAAAAACATTGTATACCATTATCAAAAGAGATTTATCCCAGAGATGCAAGGATGGTTCAACATATGCAAATCAATAAATGTGATACATCAACAGAATGAAGACAAAAACCATGTAAACATCTCAATAGATACACAAAAAAAGCCACTTAATAAAATTCAACATCCCTTCATGATAAAAACTCTCAACAAAGTAGGTATAGAAAGCAATACACCTCAACACAATAGAGGCCAGATATGACAAACCCACAGCTAACATTATATTGAATGGAGAAAAGTGGAAAGCTTTTTCTCTAAAAACTGGAACAAGACAAGGATGAGCATTTTCACAACTCCTATTTAACATACTAGAAGTGCTAGCCAGAGAAATTAGATAAGATAAAGAAATAAAGGGCATTCAAATTGAAAACGAGAAAGTCAAATTGTTCCTGTTTGCAGACAACATGTTCTTATATATAGAAAAACCTAAAGACTCCACAACAAAACTCTTAGAACTGATTAACAACTTCAGAAGTTGCGGTATACAAAATCAACATACAAAAATCAGTAGTGTTTCTATATGCCAATAACAAACTATCTGAAAAAAATCAAGAATGCAATCCCCTTTATAATAGCTACAAAAATACTAAGAAAGAAAGTTAACCAAGGAAGTGAAAGATCTCTACAATGAAAACTACAAAACACTGATGAAAGAAACTGAAGAGAACACAAAAAATGGAAAGACATCACATTTTCATAGATAAGAAAAATTAATATTGTCAAAATGACTATACTACCCAAAGCAACCTACAGATTCAGTGGAATCCCTGTCAAAATACCCACGACATGCTTCACAAAAATAGAAAAAAAAGTCCAAAATTTGTATGGAACCATAAAATACCCCAAATAGCCAAAGCATTTGTGAACAAAAAGAACAAAGCTGAAGGTATCACACTGACTGACTTCAAATTATACTACAAAGCTGTAATAACCAAATCAGCATTGTACTGGTATAAAAACAGACACATAGCCCAATTATTTGATTGGAGAATTATTTGAATGGAGAATTCAGAAATAAGTCAAGTGATTTTTGACAAAGGCAATAAGAATACACACTGGGGAAAGGATAGCCTCTTCAATAAATAGGGTTGGGAAAACTGGATATCCATACTCAGAAAAATGAAACTAGAACCCTATCTCTCACCATGTACAAAATCAACTCAAAATGGATTAAACGCTTAAATATAAGACCCCAAACCATAAAACTACTAGAAGAAAACACAGGGGAAATACTTCAGGACATTGGTCTAGGCAAATATTTTTATGGCTAAGGCTTACAAGCAACAAAAGAAAAAAACAGACAGATGGGATTATATCAAACTAAAAATCTTATGTAGAGCAAAGGAAACAATTCATCTGACAGGGAACTGATATCCAGAATATGCAAGGAACTCAAACCACTCAACAGCAATAAAAGAAATATTTTTATTTAAAAATAGGCAAATGATCTGAATAGACATTTCATGAAAGCAGACACAAATGACCAAGTGGTATATAAAAATGCTTAATGTCATTTATCATTAGGGAAATGCAAACTAAAACCACAAAGAGATATCATCTCACTCCAGTTAGAATGGTTATTATCAAAAAGACAAAAATTAAGAAATGCTGGCAATGATTCGGAGAAAAAGGAGCTCTTATACAATACTGATGAGAATGTAAATTGGTACCATCATTATAGTAATTAGTATGGAGAGTCTTTAAAAAACTAAAAACAGGACTACCATATGATTCAGCATTCACATTACTGGGTATATGTCCAAAGGAAAGGAAATCAGTATGTCAAAGAGATATCTGTACTCCCATGTTTATTGCAGCATTATTCACAGTAGCTAAGATATGAAAATTAACCTATATGTCTATCAACAGATTAATGGATAAAGAAAACATGATATATATATGTATACATGAATATTATTCAGCTCTAAAAAAGAATGAAATCTTGCCATTTGCTGCAACATGAATGAACCTGGAAGATATTATGTTAAGTAAAATACGTCAGGCCCGGAAAGATAAATACTGCATGTTTGCATTCACAAGTGGGAACTAAAAACTTTGAGCTCATAGAGAGTAGAACTGTGGTTACTGGAGGCTGAGAAGGGGAGGGGTGAGTGAGAGAGGGATTTTGAAGAGACTGGTTAATAGATATAAAATTACAGCTACATGAGAGAAGTAAGCTCTGGTATTCTATAGTGCTATAGGATGGCTATAGTTAACAATAATTTATTATATAATTTCTAATAGCTAGAAGAGAAGATTTCGAATGTTCCCAGAACAAAGAAGTGATAAATGTTTAAAGTGAAGAATATGCTAATTACCCTGATTCGATCATTACCCACTGTATACATGTATCAAAATATCACTCTGTATCCCATAAATATGTACAATTATTATGTGTCAATTTTTAAAAGTTGAAAACAATACTGAAGGAAACAAATAACTCTGCTTACTTCTCTCTTTTAAGTATGTATATATTTCTTTTCTCCTAAGTTGTTTACAAAAAGATATCAAGTATTTATAGGCTATCTAAATTTTCTAATATTTAAAAAGTATTCTATTTTAGTCAGGGGAGATTTGTGGCACATGATGGCATTAGGTGCTTTAAACTGTAGTCCGAAGGGACAACCAATTTATAGCCATTCAAGTAAGAACTTAGTAAACATTTTTTAAAATACAGTCATCAGTAATCAATCACTTTCATTTGGTGACTATAATTTCTCTTAAACACTAATTACTTACTTCAACATAAGTAGAAAATAGCCAGATAATACTGGGACACAAACAAAGAAGAGTTGATATACATTACTGCCTATCCAGTAATAGGCAGTCAATTAGTATGTGTGGAATGAATGAATAAGAATAAAAATTTCATATTATTTCATGGGGCAAAGGTAGGGATAGCAAAGATTACAGGCCTCTATACTCTATATTATAGGTTTACAATATAGTAGAGGAGAAAAGTAAAGGTTCAAATATCTTCAATACTTAGCAGTTTAATTGCCACTAGAGTAGTATAGTTGAGAAGTTTATGTTAAAATATATTATTTATTCTTATGATTAAAAAGCACATGTACAGAGAATAACACAAAGTAAGATAAGTATGGCTTCTACTATTTAGGATCATTTTGGGGAAAATTTTTCTTTCATACTTATTACCAAATTGCTGAAAGGAAATAAGACATGTATATGAAGACATGTGATGACTGCTCTTTTGAGACCAAAAGAGGGAGGTATATGGCCATGACAGACAAGTGAGGGGTATGAATAGAAAGGAAGAGCTAAAAACAACTTTGCTTCTGCTCAGCTCCCATTGATCAAGTTTGAACTAATTAGCAAGGATGCTGTCCTTCCTCAAAGTATAAGCTCCTCACTAAAAATGATTAATTTGAAAAGTGGAAAGGGAGGAGCAGAGACTTTCAACTAAATCCATTCATTCTTGCAAAAGAACCACAAGCTTTACTACTTTAAGCAACTGTATCTGCAAATCTTTCAGATATACTATAACAATTTTAAGTATTTGTGACTGGGTTACTTTTTTGGTCAAGAATCAAAGATTAAAACAATCCTGTGCCCATCATAACTCTAGGTCCATTTTTACCTTAAATACAGTATGTTCAATCCGTTCTATTTAAAATCCACTTCCACTCTAATGTCAAATAAATTTTACAGATTCTTTAAAAAATACAAAAACTGAGGTGAGAATTTCCCTAGAAAATTATATTTCTTAAAATCCCTGAGGAAATGGAGTTAATTTTATTTTAAATAAGTCATGTTAACAGTAAGTATTCATTGAAAAAACAGAAAAGAAAAAAAAAAAAAACAGTTGAATTTTTCCAAACTGGCAACATCTAACACACAAGAAGTACATGTGATGCTAAAAAGATTTTTATAAATCATTATGAACTAAAATGTTACCTACTGTTCTTTCTTATCTTTTGAAAATCTAGAATAATGTTTAATATCATGTCTCATATCATGTAGAAATTCCACTTAGAAGCACATGAGAGAGACAGATCAATTATAAAGATTCAAAAGCTCCTAAGTAACTTTCACAACCCGAAAACTTATTAAAGGAAATTGAGATTCCCATGCCAGAAATATATTCTTACATAAACATAAGAGAAGAACTCTTACCATAAGTTGGGGTGCTTTCTCGTCTTCCTTGACTACTTGATCTTCCTTTTTCATATTCATAGCAATATAAGACAGTATCTTCTTCGACAATATTAAATCTCTTTCGATATTCCTGATCCAGAAATGAATTTGGTGATTCAGATCCCTTATGCACTGGCTTGCCCACCATATGTCCTCTGAGGTCTTCACAAGGAAGGTTTCCTTTTTCATCCCTAAAGAAAGGTTAGAGTCAAGGAGAAGGATGTAGAAACATGTTAGGGTAGTAAATGGCCGAGGGTCTAAAATACTAATAATTTATTCCCACACAATATATCTCCTGACCTTTCCAAACTTTCTTTGAGATTTATAGGGCAATTTGTAATTATTCTTATTTTGCTGAAAACAAAATGGTGAGTCTCAGAAAGGCTAAACAACTTGCCTCAATGTTACACAGCTAACAACTGACAGAATTTGAAATAGGCCATGAAACATTTTACTGTTGCCCAAGTCCATTTTTCACCGTACCATGTCATACATAAATTGCTTTTAGTGTTCAAGAGAGTAGGTATAATGCTAGTAAAGTTAACTTAAGTATATAGCTTTCTTCTGCCAGTTTACCTTTGCATATAAATTGCTTTTAGCATTTAAGACAGTAGGTATAATAGTAATAATGTTAACTTAAGTATAATGCTTTCTTCTGCCAGTTTACCTTAGCACATAAATTGTTTTTAGTGTTCAAGACAATAGGTATAATGGTAGTAATGTTAACTAAAGTATAATGTTTTCTTCTGCCAGTTTACCTAATTGATTCTTGGTAAAAATTTGCACTGCTTAAAAATAAAGATGTGTTTAAGAACTATCATAAGAAGCACTGTAGCCTTAGGAACCAAATTAGCGTGATATAAACTTGTATTATAAGAAATTCACACAACATGTAATTAATTTTAAATAAATCTTAATAAAAAGAATTATTCTCAGTATTCAAACTCTACGGATCTCATTTAAGAGTAAAAAGACATATTCCTAGAACTCATTCTAAATGAATATATCAAAATTTCATTATACATCAATGTTTCTTGAGGAGAGAAGGTAAAATAATTTGATAAAATACGGAGTTTAAGAATGGAATTTAGGGTGATGGCAAGTTGATTTTTTTCTTCTATAGGATTCTAGAGAAAAACATCTCTAATAATTTATGAGCTCCCTAAAACCTGTTACTCACACACTGTAATAGGTAAATTAAGCCCCAAAACTATTTTGATAGAAATAGTTCATTTGCTATTTGTTAAATTGAATCTTGTTTATTTTATGAAATGATTCACTGATTACCTATGAACTTTTTGTCAGAAAAGCTTGTCTTCTAGAACATGACTATGAATGTAAATGCAATGTTTCTCCCCTTGTGGACCATTAGTTAAATTTCTTCCCTTTTCTTAATTGTTTCTGGTTACCCTAAACAGTGCCATGAATAAATGCTGTCAAACAAGAAAAATAATTTAATTTTATGTTAAGTGATAAGACTAAAATCTTAAATTCATAGAATAAACTAAATTATAACAAGACAGATAAAAAGAACAATTTTTAAATTAATTCCTATTATACCTTTTAAAAGGGTGATGAGCTTATAAAAGTAATGTGAATTCTAAAATATGAGCCCCAGTCTGGCAAAAGCCTGTATTTCTGCTTCTGTGTGTAAATGTTTAGATTAGGTTTGTCCAAATGTAGAAAACTATATTCTCAGTATTTGAAATATGTAGAAAGTAGCAAACAACATTCTCCAGACTGACAATCAGTGAGTTTTCTTATCTGTTTAACCCATCACAAGGTGTTGTTGCCATTTACATTACCATTTACTCTTTTATTTTCTAAAATAAAAGTATTGCTTATTACCAAAATAGAACTAAATAAATAGTTTTTAGGCAATATGAAGGAAATAAATATAAAATCCAGGCAGAATTTTATTTCGGCTTGCTGAAAACTTTTCCTGAACAAATTGCCTGGTTAGTCCACTATCAAAAAGAAATTGACGCTGCAACTAGCTTGGAAGCAGCCCTAATGAATTTGTGGCACTGGAGTAAGGTTATGCCTATCTGTAAATGAACAGACCTCGCGCTATGAAGCTTGTGACATGAATGTTAATGCAGCTGAAATCAGAGGGTGATTTAGCCCTATTAATACACCATGCTATATTTATATGGAAACATCTTGTGGCAGGAAATTGAAAGGGATGGTATTTCCTACTGTATAATAACATGAGGGAGGGACCTTATATCAACAGGGTAGATTTTTAAAACAAATCTATATAGAATGCAGTAAGATACTGTTGAATTGAGAAAAGTACCAAGCAAAACCAAACTTTTCAGTAGAATGAGTAGATACATGTATTGTGTATGTAAATGTGTGTATGTGTATGTGTGTGTGTGTGTTAATATACATATTCATGTCATGAGTCCCTGGAGAATTCAATGTGTTAATTCATTCTGATGTAAAGAGTTTTTTACACCTTTCTTAATGTTGTACGTTTATGCACATAAGTAATAAATCTGTGCCTTTGCTCTAGAAAGGATTTAAGGAAGAATTAAAAGAGCATTGATTTGCTGAACTAACTTTATATTTAATGGCACACAGTAGAGTTAATAAGAGAAATTAGTGCTTAAATGTCATAGTTGCTCAAAGACCTATAAATTCTTCATTTTCATCATAGAAAAAGAAATTTGGTTAAGTATAGAAATGTACTATATATAATGATAATGAAACTGTGTATAGTCATAAGACATATAATAAAATGCCAGCCAAATTTCACTCATTTCACAAACGAGTGTTTTATCTTTTAGAGAGAAAGGCACTTTTGCAATAACTTTTTTTCTGGAATAAATGTGTTCAAAAAATTGTAACCACATGAAAAATATTCTGTCTAACTTGAAAACTAGTCCTATCATTTTTCAAGTCTGTTTTCTTTTTGAGATGAGAGAGGTTTTATTATTTGCAATCCAAATCAAACATATATGTTCACATACCACCAAAATGCCTATCCTTTATAAACAAAGTTTTTTAATATGGGGGAAAATGTTCAGAAGAATTAAACTAGGTTCGCAACATTCATCTTCAAAATGAGAAAATGGGGAAAAAATTGCCAAGGCTGTATCTATAAAAATAATCACAAATGCAAAAAGTTTTGACTGTCAACTTAACATCAAGCCAGAAAATGCAGACACTTATATAAGGCTGTGGTTCAAAGGGGCTTTGATGCATGGATTGTTCTGACTCCTATATTGAAAGATTTTATGACTGGTTAAGTAACAATTTGACTCAAAATGTATTTAGAATATTCTGTTAAATTATACACTGACCAACTAAGAATCACTTATGGCAATACAGTAAACACTATGAATTTTACGGAAAAGTATGGAGCTTTCAAGCAATACTGACAAAACAAGGGTCACTATGTTGATATTTCAATTTCACATTCTCTAATATTTTAAAAGAGCATTTTCAAGCTTTTTATTGGCTTCAATATAGAGCCTTTATAATATGTCCATCACACTCAGAAGACAGAACTGGATCATTTTACTCTTTTGTCCTCTTAAATGTATTTTAAATATTTTCTGTAGAGGAGACACTTTCTTTGTAACAAGCTCCTCACCACTGAAGAGGAAAGAACATTTTAAAACTACAGAGATTTGATAAAAATAATCTTTTGATGTTTATCTGTATATGTAGACCTCTGAAGAATAAGGCATTTTAAATAATTATTTGCACTGAAATAAAAATCTTTCCAATGAAAATGTAAACAAATCATAAAAAGTCACTTCCTGTTTGGAACACACATACTTTCACTGCTCCTCATGCAAGAGTATGTGGAAAATCTGATACTGTCTTAATAGAATTAAAATGCAACTTGCATTTTACTAGGATACTGGATGGATTTGTATATTTGCTTGTAAATTGAACAAAAGATTGTAAATTATATATTAGATTTATGAAATGTCAGCTTAGTAAACTATATCTTATAAGTCATGTTCCAATGGCTATATTTAATTCTCAAAGAACTAAAATATACATAAAACTGACTATAGTTATATTACTAGATGACAACATGGTATTTGCAGATAAACCATATTGCCATGCAGCATTTAGATCATATAATGTCAGTAAACCATCATATAGATTTCTGAAACACTAAGTGTACTAAAGAATAATGGAAATTAAACACAGGGAATTCAGTTCTTTTATATATGAAAGAAATTTAATACTAATTATGGCTTGAAAACAAGAGACCTTAAATTATTGTTTTTGAATGCAGAACTAACTTAAAAATTGAATCAAGTTTTTTGTGATTGGTATTAATGATCCCCATTTAGTGCTAGTCCTTTTCCACAATTTTTGTATTTCACAAGGCTGGATATTAGAATGCTTTTAGGAAGAATGCATTATGACATAAAGCTGTATTCTTCTACATCTGCAAGGAATTTCAGATAAGAATCAATAAATGAAATAGAGATACAGCCTCAAGAAATCTAGAAAATAGACTTTAAGAGTAATTCATTCCCTTGTAAACTCTACTTCCTGAAAGAAACATTAATTAATTAATGAAATAAAAATTTCAGATACAGGACTATTAGGGGAAAAAAGACAATCTCCCTCATAATCATTATCAAATAATATCTTCCTCATTACTTACATTTAAGAAAGCATAAAAGTCATCTATAGCATGCTTTTTTTTTTTTTTTTTAATGTATGAAATGCTTCAAAGTAACCAGAAAATTTCTGGGGCTTTTTAGCCAAAGAACCTCACTTATCCTTTGCTTATTAAAGAAATCCTAATTGTTATTTATTATTACTTTCTTCTTCTTTCCTATTATGAGATAGTATAAAATACTTAATGCACAGCAAGTATTTATATACAAATTAGTCATTATTACTATTAACCAACATGCATTCTCTATAATGGGAATGATTTTGCAGAATGTGTTCAGAATTCCTAACTGTGAGAAAATATTCAAGGTGTTCCTTGAGAATTGACTTTGCAGTTTATATGCTGTTAAGTTTACCTTTAGCTAGAAGCTGCCTAGGACAACGTGATAGTTTTATACCTGGGAATATATGGTTCTGCAGGAGGAGGGGGAATGTAGAGATCCTGGAGGGCAGAACTGTCTCTTTTGGTGGGTGTACTGATGGTGCTGGAAGGCGTGGCAACGCTGCTTGTGGGACTTCTAGGTATAAGAGGCTAGTTAAAATGAAAAAGAAAATACATACGCACACAAACAACACACAAAACAACAACAACAACAACAACAATGACACATAGTTATCATTTTAAAATTATCTATTTCTGCAAAGTTTTTGAACTTGGCTGAAATCAAGAAACATGTTATTTAGTACATGGATATTCCTTCAATCTCCAAAAACAAATAGTATGGTAAAGGTTTCCACTTCACTCCCAATTCACCTTAATCTATGGTATAACCACTGAAATACTATTTATAAAGCAAAAATACCATGCAGTGTTTCAAAATGGGAAGACTTATCTCACAGTTAGAAACTTATTTAAATTAAATTAACTTTGTCAGAATTCCACCTTTAAAAGAACAATAATGATGAGTAACTCTGAAAAGAATTAGCTCACTCACATCCTGATTGATGTATGAGAAAGCTATTTCAGATCTTCTCCCAAAAAAGATAAACCATATTTCTAGGTTAGTAAAATGTTACAGATGCTCAGAAAAGGTTACAAAAGTGGGAGTATGAAAGGCCAATACGAGAGTATTTGCTAGAAAAATGTACTTTTTTTCTGTCAAAATAAGCATAGCTGTCTTCTCAAAGCCAGTTTATGGTATATCATCAAAAGTATGGTAATTATGTAACACAATCATTTCACCATTCATAGGCACACACATTTATCTATCATTTAAAATAATCTTTAGTTGCATATATAGATCTCATTTTCAGGCCTGTATTTAAGTATTAAATAGGAGGTTATTTTCTTAAAGTTAAGAAGTTAAGATAATATACATACGGAATTAAGCAGTACATGAGGATGCATTAACTTAAGAGCACTCCCAATTCCAAGCTTCACAGCATTTGAAAATAATCTAGTGGTTTGTGAAATTATCCTGAAGTGAAACTAAAATTCACAAGTTTTATGTTTATCTTACAGATCTTAATGATTAGCTATGTATACAATTAACATATTAAAAATAAAATTTTAATGTAATCACAAACACAAAAATAATGATCACAAATGAACTGTATCTTCACATGACAAGATGTTGCCATTTTAGCCAGTATGAAAACTCTCTTAGCATATTTATATAGACTCACAGTTCTATTGTTTTAATATGCATTGCTAGACACTCAAAAAGTGGCATATTACAACTATTTTATATTGTGACAATACTTTTGTACAGATAAACAAAATTTGTTTAAAAAGCCAAGCATAAATACAATGGAAAGTACAATGTAAGTCACTGGGGTAGGCTACATAATTTAGGACTCAGTTCATGGTTTTGACCTTCCCTGTTACACAGCTCACCTTAATAGCTTGAAATCACACATCCTACCAAAATGACAGTTAAATTTTAATGTAGTGAAGTAGAAATTAAAGAAAGAGAGAGAGAAAGGGAAAAGGAATGATAATGTAATTTGGGAGTTTACAATATTCCACCTTATACGATATTTTAAAAAAGGTCAGAAGTTTTACATGTTAATTGAAGAATTGTAAGATATTATAAAATTACACAGTAAAGATTATGTTTTACTATGCTAATTTTGGCATAGGGTCCAGTTCAACTATTCCTGTCTTTTAGAAACAAAACTTGAGGCAATGGAAAATCCTGAGATTATATAGGTAATCACAGGAGTCACCTGTACTGATGAATACCATAAATCCCAAGGAAATAAATAATTATTTTATTTCTAAGGATGCATTTCATGCCTCTACAACAAATCCTTGAATGGCAGACTCAACAATACATACATACAATCACTGTGATGTGACTCTGTTTATAACTGTTTTCCTCTCTGTCAGGACATCTTGGTTTTAAATACAGATGATGCTAAACAATAAATCTGACCAAAATTTTACCATAATAGAAATGTAGCAAAGAAAACATTCATTTAACAGAATATTATTTTCCAATTCTTTTAAACAGATACACCATGAGAGAAAAACTAATATTCAGTATACTTTTAAAATGCTCTAATAGCTTTCTTACTTTTAAATATCCTAACACTGTAAATGAACTTAAAATCAAGTTCTAAAAACATAAGCATGTAAACATAATCAAACTTAAATTTTTATTGTCTTCCCTCTCTCGTGGAGTCACTATTCTATTTTGAGGACTTTTCTTCTTTACTTTTACCATCTACAGAACTAAAGATAATTTTTCCTGGTTAGTACCTACCCTTCTTCTCCCCAAACAAAAAGGAAGGAAGGAAATAGTAGCAGTTAATGGTTACAAGCACATTTTAAAATAGGTACACCTGAAGTGTGAGGTAATGACCAGGGGAATATTTTATTCTGCCTGAATTATTACCAGCATTGTCTACCTAGGGTACCTATGTCTTTTCCCTTCCAAGAAATGTAATTATTAGCCCTCAATTTCCTTCAAACTGCTATTTCTCTAGGTTTCTATTTTTAGCAAACAGTCCCTATCAATGTCATCAGTTAATGTTATTAGCCAAATTAGCACATACATAGAGGGAAAAGATTCTTAAATATGCTTAAATACATAACAGGTTTGATTATGCCATGCTGGTTCAATTAATTGAACTGGTTGAAAAAAATATTACTTCAGGGAAAAAAGAAATTAGTCAATCCTGTTGCTTAACTCATCTGGCTTGTTATTTTATTGACTGGTAAGTCACAGAAAATATTTCAACTGGTTTATCATGGAAATACTATCTGGCTCATCAGTATGCCTTGTGCCAAGTAAAGTTCATTGTAAATATTCAATATATTCAGTATATTTCTCTCTACTAATTGTGCTCTTTTTTTTTTTTTTTTTTTTTTTTTGAGACAGAGTCTCGCTCTGTAGCCCAGGCTGGAGTGCAGTGGCGGGATCTCAGCTCACTGCAAGCTCCGCCTCCCGGGTTCACGCCATTCTCCGGCCTCAGCCTCCCGAGTAGCTGGGACTACAGGCGCCCGCCACCTCGCCCGGCTATTTTTTGTATTTCTTAGTAGAGACGGGGTTTCACCATGTTAGCCAGGATGGTCTCGATCTCCTGACCTCGTGATCCACCCATCTCGGCCTCCCAAAGTGCTGGGATTACAGGCTTGAGCCACCACGCCTGGCCGAATTGTGCTCTTTTTAACAAGCTAATCCAAGCTAAATAATAAACATTCGTTTTGAGATTCATATTTAAAAATCTAGACATTAAGCGATGGAAAAATAAAGTTTAGTAAAGTACAACCTTCATGGGAAAATAAAAATAACTACTTAACCCAAAGGGGTCTTTGTGATAATTTAAAATTATAATCTCTTTAAAAATTTTCTAACTTTGGACAAAAATTGAAAGAGCAAAAACTCAAATGACTAAATGAATGAAAAAGGCATTAAAGAACATTAGAAAGACAAGTAAAATTTGACCAAATCAAGTACAGAATAAATGATGTAATTAGCTAAAATTATCAGTGAGAAATTCCTAGTTGTAACAAGAGGCATTAAAAATACACCTACCACCAATAGCCACTTAAGTTTGTGAAAATGCACAGAAAGTAACAAATTTAGCTTCCCTCAACTCAAAACACAGAATTCTTTCAGCACAGGCATATTCCTTAGATTGAAAAAAAAAATCTAATGAGGAGGATGTAATACAAAAAGATAGCTTCTCCTATCCTGGCAACATTTACTTACAATCATTTGTTTAGAATACAGTATAAGAAAAGTAGTTACTGTTGCACTACAAATAAATTTCAATTTAAGAAAAAAAGTAGAATTAAAGAGTAACATTCTTTTATCATTTTGACTTTCTCCTGTATTGACAAAATTTGAACGGAAGAAAATTAGAACTATCGACACTATGGATAAAATGGATACAATACAAGGGGATTGTTTTAGGATTACATCTTGTTATTTAAAGTAAACATGAAGCTTCAGCATAACTTGATCTTCTGTGGCATGTAATCAAGTATGATATAGATCCATTTTTGATTCCATCCAAAGGGGTTTATTTTCTGGAAGGACTTTGTCATACCATTTAGTTTTCATTTCAATGGTCCTTTTGAGATGAAGCTCTCCTTCCACATATTCAATGAGACTCCAACAGGGAAGACACATTTGCATGTATGTTGTGACTCTTGTAAAACAAGTCTATGATAGATTTCTGGGGGCACTGGCATGCATCTCTTAAAATGTCCAAATCCTAAATAAAATGATCATATGTATCTCTTCAAACATATATTTATAACCTTAGGTCAATTAAGGATAACGTACTACTGTCAATTTGCTACTGTTAGAAATCTTCTAGGTAAAACTTATATTTTTCATACTGTCAGTTTGAATGTATAAATACTTCAAAATTGTGTCCTAAAATAGGGTATGACACAAACTTTCCTCTGAATTATTAGTGATAACTTCAGCAATAATATCCTACTCATCCAGCTTAAACATCATTGGAAGATTGTGATTGCTGTAAAATAAAATTTTGTAAGCTAAAGCTTTAAATCTTCTGATGGTTCAGGTCTCACTTTAAAGCCTCTGATTGCTGAGGTCTTTTCTTTGTGTGCCCCAATTTTAACATCTCTAAGGTAACTGAGCACATATGGAAGGTATTCGTGTACCTGTGAAATCTCTATAGTCTTAAAGACCATGAGAAAAGAACTTCTATACTTAAGAAACTACATTTGACGTTGAGGTTTTCCTCAAAACATTTTACATTTTAACATCTCTGGGCAAGCATATCTTAATTTAGTTGTCCCTCTTTCTATCAAGTGACCCAGCTTTGATAGAGCTTGAATGAAACCAATGGCATAAAAACAACTCCAACGTTAAAAGATTAAAACAGTGCATTACACATTTATGTAGTTAGCTCTAAAATTCACTAATGCCAAGATCACACAGAACTTGCTTTGCCTTCCAGTGGGGAAATACCCACTGAAATACAAATAATCACATCAAGTATAAAACCTGGCCATTTATTTTATTCGCTCTTGGGAATAAACACAGACTCAAATGGATCACAATACCCCATCATTCTAGCACAGAACATTCACATAAGTCCTTACTC